TAAATCTATTTCATCCCATCTAACAGCAAATCCTTTCAACTCAACCTCCAAACCATAGCTCAAATTTATCTACTTCTTGACAACTCCACTATCATCATGGACCCCAAATAAGCTATCAAGTTTTTTTTTTTTTTCCATAAATTTCTATAGTAATCGCTTAACTCACTTCTAAGTTTTCTACACAGGAGCTAAAGAGTGACCTTTTCAAAATCTACATAAGTTGTCACCATTTCCTTGCTTAAAACTTTCCAATAGCTTCCAACACCATTTTTCCATATTATCACCTACAAGAGTTCTTTCCTATTCTTTTTTTTTTTTTTTAATTGACTAATATTACACTCCCTCTCTCCTTTCCCAACAGTCCTCAAGAATAGCAAACTCATTTTAGACTCAGGACTTTGCACACATTGTTCCTGTTGCTTGAAAGGCCCTACATAAATTCCCTCCTTTCCTCTTAGCCCACTTACATCCTTTACTATTCAGTATCTCTAGAAGTTACCAGAGGAATTATTTTCTTCATCAACACTGGTATTTTTAAGTTCAATATAAGCATATTTCACAATAGTTCAAAGTGCACATTCAAAACACTTAAGGTCAATCCAGGTGAACTGGGCTAGCACGAAATAATCACACAGAGACATAGAAATACCTTTTACTTTGGGTCCTGTGAAGGCTCCTCTGACCTCAGGGGTCCATGGAAAGAGGAGCGAGGAGCACATGCTAAACCCTTTTATTGGGGAGAAGCCATTCGAATGAGGCAAGGGGTAGGATTACAAAGGAATTGGAGAGTGCAACTCTACCCCACCAGGTGACACTTAACTTCTAGAACCACAGCTTGCTATTAAAGCTGGGACAACTCCCAAGTCACTAAGAAATATACCTCATACATCAGGACTGGAAGGTGTGGTCATTCAGAGCGGCTCCCCAAACTTGACGACTTCTTAATATTGTTAATAAAATTATAGAATCCTACTGTAGTTAGGAATACAGAGATCATCTATTGTTCCCATATTAGATGTAACAAAAAATAGAGAGATCAAATAATTTGCCTGTTCTGTTTTTAAGCAAATTTTAAGTCTTCTAATCTGTGTTTAATATTTTGGTCAACCCTCTATTCTGATTATTATTACATTTTAACTTCCTTTAAGATAATCCCAGTTATAGGAAAAAAATTCTAAAATTCACATGTAACCACAAAGCCACAGTAACTTTGAAACCCAAACAGCCACAATAACTTTGCAAAGAAATAAGGTGGAAGCCTTCTATATCCTAGCTTTAACATATTATAAAGTTACAGTCATCAAAACAGTTATGGTTCTGGCATAAAGACAGACATATAGACCAATAGTACAGACAGACTAGACAGCCCAGAAATAAGCATACGCATATAGAATCAAATAATCTCCGCCAAGGATGCCAAGACTACACAACAGGAAAAGGAATGTGACTTCAAAAATACATATACATATTGGGGAAACTGTACAACCATATGAAAAAAATGAAACTTGACTCTTATACTATATATGAAAACCATCATGAGCTACTCTATATTAGTATGGCCTCATATCTGTTAGGATGGCCATGATCACCAGGATGTGAAAAAAAAACAGAAACTTTTGTACTGCTAGTGGGAATATAAAATGGCATAACAGCTATGCAAGATAATATGATACAAATGCTAAGGAAATCAGTATGGCAGTTTCTCTAAAACTTTAAAATGTAATGACTGTGATTCAACGATCTCCCTTTTATTTTTCCAAAATATTGAAAACAGCATCTTAGAGAGATATGCACTCCTATGCTCCCTGTTCCATTACTTATGCTAGCAAAGAGATGAAAACAACCTAAACGTCTATCAGTGGGTGAATACATAAAGAAAATGTGGCATATAGATACAATGAATATTATTCAGCCTTAAAAAAGAAGGAAATCAGCGGGCACAGTGGTGCATGCCTAGAATCTCAGCAGTGTGGGAGACTGAGGCAGGAGGATTGCAGGTTCAAAGCCAGCCTTAGCAACTTAGCAAGGCTCTAAGCAAATTACAAAGACCCTGTACTCAAAATAAAAAATAAAAAGGGCTAGGATGTGGCTCAGAAATCAAGCACCTCTGGGTTCAATACCTGGTACCAAAATAAATAGAGAAAAAAAGAGAAGAAAATCCTGATGCTATGCTTCATAAATGAAACCTGAGGACGTTACACGCTAAATTAAGTAGTAAACCAATGACAGAAGGAAAAATACTGCATGATTTTATCTATCTGAAGTATTTAAAATAGTAAAATTCATAAAAACAAAGTAAAATGATTGTCATCATGGGGGAGGGGAAATGGGAAATTGCTGTTCAATGGGGGTGTACATAATTTCCACAATGCAAGATAAAAAAAGTTCTAGAGGTCCTCTGTTTAGCAGTGTATATATAGCTAACTAACAATACTGTATAATATATTTAAAAACTGTTAAAGGTACATGTCATGTTACGTGGTTTTTTAAATTACAATTAAAAGAAAAAACAACAAAAATGATAAATCCCAGTTACTCACCCACACCTAGTAATAGCTCTTATTAAAGAGTAACTACTTAGGCCTAAGTACTTAGGCCTCACAGCAACTCAGGGAAACTTAAGTTGCTCAGCCTAATTAGGGAAGTTTAAACTGCTAATATGCTACACTAAAAACAGTAACATGAAATAAAGTCTCAAATATAGAAGAAAACTCTTACCACCAGTATCTGTCAAACTTCTTTTTAAACAAATAACGTTGGTTTAAAGGCCGTATTTACTATACATATTCTTTTTTTTTTTTTAAGCTGTAGTTGGACATAATGCCTTTATTTAATTTATTTTATGTGGTGCTGAGGATCGAACCCAGTGCCTCGCATGTGCTAGGCGAGCACTCTGTCGCTGAGCCACAATCCCAACCCCATACTATACATACTCTTAACCTTCTTTTAAAATCCCATAAACTGGCTAGGCACAATGGCACACACCTGTAATTACAGTTACTGGGAGGATGAAGCAGAAGGATCACAAGTCCAAGGCTAGTCTGCTACACAAGTTAGAAAGACCCTGTCTCTTTTTTTAAAAGGGCTGGAGTTCTCTTTTCACAGTGCCTTGTAGGCAATCAACTGCATCAAGTATGGATGACAACCTGAGCATTCTCAACTTGGTTATTGTTTTAAAAAAAAAAAAAAAAGATATTCCTGGACTTACAAATACTACTGCGCCTCATCACCTGGGGCCCAAAAGAGCTGGCAAAACATGCAAACTTTTCAATCTCACAAATACATTGTCAGAAAACCCTTAAAAAAGGAAGATAAAAAACCCAGAACCAAAGCACCAAGATTAGTGTCTCATTACGCCACATCAACATGGGCATATTGTTCTGGAGAAAAAGTCTACAAAGAAGATTAACGAAATGACTGCAGAATATGCTAAACTTTTGGCCAAGAGAATCAAAGAAGAAACAGAGAAATGCTAGAACAGATTGCCAAGAGACACAGTCTGTCCTCTACAAAAGCTTTTGCTTCTAATCTGAATCCAGTTAAAATTAAGAATTAAATAAATAACGTCCAAAAGGAAAAACTGGGGAAGGAGGGGCATAGCTCAGAGGTACAGGGTTTGCAAGGCCCTGGTTCAACCTCCAATACCATCAAAGAGGAGTGGGGGAAAAAAAATCAGACTATCTGTTGATACGTATGTAAGCACACAAATATGCACATACATAATCTTTTATTCTAAAAAAAATCTAGCCAAAATTATAAAGTTGGTCTTATAAAGTGTTACCAGGAACAACAAATTTCACTATTATAAAAGATTTGAAAGGACAAGACTCTGTAGTTCAACCCAATAACACTGCTACCAATAAGCATATATTTTAGGATGGTGAAACTGCTATTCCAACCAAAGATTTCAAAACAGTTTCATTACCAAAACTCAGTGAGAAATGTATTTCATGTCAATCATATTTATACACATATATCCAACTACAAAAACTAAAAATTTTCATCAAATTTAATGTAGTTTTCATGTAGTTTAAATGTACATTACTTACTACATATGCACTCAGTATTTTCATCCTACTTTTTATTGTTCAATTTTGTTATTTGTAGTGCTGGGGTCCCAGGTCCTCCCATATGCTGTGCTTCACCCACCGAGCTACATCCCCAGAGTCTGTGTTCTACTTTTTTTTTAAGTTGTAGATGAACACACGGTATCTCTATTTATTTTTATGTGGCGCTAAGGATTAAACCCAGTGCCTCACACATGCAAGGCAAGTGCTTTACCACTGAGCTACAGGCCCAGCCCCTACTTTTAAATACTAATGTAATACTAACATTAATTCACAAGCTACTAACGAGCACACATTACAGTCTAGAAACAGTGTACTACCTAGTGCTGCAACATTAAACATATACTACATAATGCAACATTTCCAAAACCCATAGCAAAATGTCTGTAATGACTTTCTAATGTTGTTCTTCACAAAAATTTATACCTCTGCTCTCTCAGGGCAGCTGCTGATTAAAAGACTGGTCTTTCCTCTGAGAAGTGAAAGGAAAAATTAAAATCTACCTTCTGTTTTCAAAATTCTACCAACCCCCAAGGTATAAACTGAAGATAAACAGTTTCTGGAGAAGCTGTTTCAGCATACAATTAGAATTTCTCCAAAAACATCACTGATAACATCATAACTAAACATGGGTCAAATAAGAAAGGTTATATGGTAATACAAAAAGAGCATTTCTTCTCCCTTAAACAAGAGAAAGGAGATTAAACATTATTTTAAGTGTCAGTGGAAGAGTAAAATATAAAATCAAATACCAGAGTTAAATTTAAAAGATTTCAAGTTATTGTGAATTAAAAAATACAAATCAATACTCCTCCCTCTCCCTCTTTCCAGCAATAGCACTGTGTCTATTTTTTTTAAAGTATCCTCCCTCCCCCTCCCCACTACACCCCCATAAATTTTTGCTTTGTTCATGTAATTTCAACTTTTACTTACCGTTTTATGATGGGAAGAACAAACAGACGCCTCTAAAATGGGTTCCAAATCTCCTTGGTGGATGTCATTATCGCCTCCCCTTGTATCATCAAGTTGGTGTCCTTTTCTGAGCCTTAAATCTGGCTCTGGAGTCCTGTTGCACCCCAATCGTTTTTCTGCTGGCTCGTTCATGGGATACCCAATCCTTTCTTACAAAGTAGTCTTTCTTTCTATCCCTTCTTCTTGGGAGAATGGCTTTTTCAGGATAGGGAGTTGATCCTAAAAAGAGAAAAATTTTGCTTAAGTATTTTTTAAAATAAACGTGAATGCTGAGTGGAACATATCAGTTATATTACACATTAAAACAAAGTTCAGCAATCATTAAGAACAATAAAAGAATGTATAAAATCTGTATTTGCTGATAGGAAAGATTACCAAGACCTTTTTAAAAAATAAAAAACAAGACACAATGCAAAATGTTTATTTAATGTGTTCCCACTTACATGTTACCAAAATGTCTAGCTATATAAAGTATACCTATACACAGAATGACTAGAAAGCATTCAAAACTATGTTCTTGGCAAAGAAGTACATGTGAAGTCTATAGAGTGAGAAGACTTTTCACCTTGCTGTGCCTGATTTTCTTCCTACCATGTGTCATTTATTTTTCCAAATAAAAACATACCTAACTGTTCAAAGAATAGATGTAGGCTTTTACGTTACAGCTGAATTTTACATATCCAATCTCAAAACATCAGAATGATACTAGTATAAGGTGTTTTTATTTCTATTTCACCAAATTTTGCATGAAATAAATAAGACAAAGTTCAGGGACTTTGAATTTATGTAGTATTTATTTATATATTTTCTGGGAACTGAATATCAGTCATTCATTCATTCATTTATGAATGCAACGCTGGGGACTAAACCCAAGGCCTGGCACATGCTAAAAAATTCTTCTACCACTGAGCGATATCCCTAGCTCTCTTTATTTTATTTTTGAGACAGGGTCTCACTAACAAGTCAAGGCCCAGGCTGGCTTTGAACTTGCAATCCTCCTACCTCACTCAGCCTCCTGGGATATTGGCTGTATACCAACATACCTGGTTTTTACTGGTAATGTTTAACATTCAAAATGCTTCATGTTTGACATTTCAACAATTTTTAGTTGTTCTGACCTCTGAGTAGACTACCTTGGAAGAAAGAAAGAAAGAACCAGAACACACTCCTTTTATTCCATCTTAGTTCCCAGAAAGTGCTATATATATAAATGTTTAATGAATATTTGATCTAGATGACATTTCAATGTTCTTGAGTGGCAAAGACACTTTCAGAAATAATCAATCTCTCTCTAAACTGGACTGCAGTAATTTAGTTTCTTAGAGGTTCAAGTCTTTTTTCAAGTCCTTGGCACTCAGTACACAAACTTATTTTGGACAATTTGTTGAATATCCAAATTAGGAGACTACCACAGCCAATCCAATTAAAAATACCAAAACAAGATGAGCTCAGCATACATGCCAAACTTATAAATCCCATGCGATTCAAAAGTTCTTTCTAAATGGAGCTGGGGTTGTGGCTCACTCAGTGGTAGAACACTTGCCTTGCATATGTGAGGCATTGGGTTTTGAATCTCAGCACCGCATATAAATAAATGAATAAAATAAAGGTCTGTCAACAACTAAAAAAAACCAACTGAAATTATATTAAAAATTAGCCAACAGTCAGTTTTATAAGTCACTTGAGTTTACTGCAGCATTTCTTTATGGGCTTTCTAAAAAGTTTATGGTAAGAACAAACACAAATCTATAAGGATCACCAAAGTTGAGCATGCATCTATTACTTAGGGGCTTAAGCAAGCCTAAGAAGTTTATAACCAGGCTATTAATGACCATTTTTGAAGAGGAAATTGTTAGGAGGAATCTGACATAGGCAATGCCATTTTGAAACATATCCTACCATCTTAGAATAAGAGTCGCCTCAAGGTCACTCTGGCTCAGCCTGACCTAAACCAGAGACAGAAGACAGTACTCCATTATGCAAAGAAATCTCAAATAATACTCTATAATCGTAAGAAAGGAAACTGTTATCTAGGACTGAAATCTGGAAGAACACCAGGTTCCTTAGGAAGGTGACAGCACAAGGACCCTCTCCCTAACAAGAAGTTTTTCTTCACAATCCCCTAACAACTGCAAAAATCTCTCCATTCATCACTCCCCTGTATCTACCTGTAAATGGAACACAGGTCTCAGTCACCAGTGGGCCCCCACCTCATATTTGTCCCAAATAAACCTGTGTTACTGTTGAGCAGCCTCTCCTCTCTTTAGTTCTTTCATTCACATCTTTCCTCACAGAAACAATGCTAATGGTATATACTTATTTAATTGTTTATAGCTTACAAAGATATTTCAGGGCTACCATTTTAAAGGAAAAGACAGCTAACATTTATTAACTAGGATAAACACTGTACCAGAGAATGTATATGTTGTATTGTGACAAGAATCTAAGATTCTTCATTTGAGCATGCAACAGGTAACTAAAAGGATAAAAAAAAAAAACAAAAAACTGGCACCTCTGCCTACAATTTGCATCTGGTCTCCTTTTCTCTCAGTCACCTTGGATTCCAAGAACATGGTGTCTCATATATAATATATTGTGATGAATCCAAAGAATACCCCCAGGAAGCTGCAGCTATCTAAAATAAGCACCCCACCACCACCAATCTTAACTGATCAACCAAAACAGTTTGCCCAAGACTGCTTGACTATGCATATTTCTGGTCCCCCTTGTCTATATAATCTGGAAGCTCCTGTCAGTAGCCCCAAAGACAGCGCTAAGAATGTAGGTCCCCTTGATTTCCCAGCTAGCTACAAATGAAAGCTTCTTTTCTACTTTGCACCACTACTTACTTTTTCCACTTGGTTTTGGGGGCAAGTAGCTGTACCTGATTTGTTGGAAACCCCCAAAATTAGTCTCTGGCCTAGGTTTCCAGTGATACTATCTCATCTAATTCCTAAATATAGTCCTCTGAAATATTATTATTGCCTAATTAATAAATGTGGAAACTGAGAATGGAAGGTTAAGTAACTTATTCAAGGTTGTTGGGATACAAAAAAGAACCACCAGGATTTATTCTAAGCCATTTTTGAAACTTCACGAAGCTCATGTACTTTCTACTGGTCAACAAAATTAAGATTTAGGCAGAGGACTCAAGATAAGAACCTGAACCCTAAGGTTAGATGGTTTATAACACAAGTAAACTACAGAATCAGAATCTTCATTCTTAAATTGTAGCAAGTAGAATTAAGTTTCTTAAAACTATCCTTGAAATAAAACCACAAATTTCTCATAGCAGGAGCTATATAGAAAAGTGCTGCTCATTTGTAAAAATGTAAACAGAATAACACACTTAATTATAATCATTTTGTAGCCCTTGATCTAAAAAAAAAGAAAGCAAATGAAATGTTTTCCCAAAGAATTTAAGAATTCTAAATAAATAAATAAGAAAATAAATTTCCAGGGATGGATTTAAACTAAAAAGCTTCTTCTCAGCAAAAGAAACAATCAGTGAGGTGAATAGAGCCTACAGAATGGGAGCAAATTTTTACCACATGCACATCAGATAGAGCATTAATCTCTAGGATATATACAGCACTCAAAAATCTTCACACACACTTACACACACACACACACCAAAAAAAAAAAAAAAATCAATAAATAGGCCAAGGAACTGAACAGACACTCCTAAGAGGATAGAGTCGATCAACAAATATATAAAAAAAATGTTCAACATCTCAAACAAATAGAGAAATGCAAATCAAAACTACAAAGATTTCATCTCACTCCAGAAAGGCAGCCATTAAGAATACAAACAACAATAATTTGGGGGAGGATATAGGGGAAAAGGCACACTCTTATATTGCTGGTAGGACTGCAAATTGGTGCAGCCAATCTGGAAAGCAGTATGGAGATTCCTTGGAAAACTAGAAATGGAACCACCATTTGACCCAGCTATCCCACTCTTTGGTTTATAAAAAAAAAAAAAAAATAGCACACTATAGGGACATAGCCACATCAATGTTTATAGCAGCACAATTCACAATAGCTATTGTGGAACCAACCCAAAGGCTATTAAGTAGATGAATGGATAGGGAAAATGTGGCATATATATATACACAATGAAATATTACTCAGCATTAAAAGAAAACAAAATTATGGCATTTGCAGGTACCTGGATGGAGTTGGAGAACTACACTAAGTTAGCCAATCCCAAAAAACCAAATTTCAAATGTTTTCTCTGACATGAGGATGCTGACTCATAATGAGGATGGGGTGGGGACATGGGAGAAATGGACTTTAGATAGGTTAAAGGAGAGGAAGGGGAAGGGGGGGGGCACAGGGGTAGGAAAGATGGTGGAATGAGATGAACATCATTACCCTAAGTAATGTATGAAAACAAATGATGTGAATCTACTTTGTGTACAACCAGAGACATGAAAAACTGTGCTCTATATGTGTAATATAAACTGAATTGCATTATGCTGTCATACATAACAAATTAGATATATAACATATTATTTATATATATATATAAAATTAAAGTAAGAGAAAAAAAAAAAAAAAAAAGAAAATCAATTTCTAGGAAAGCCCTGAAATCAATATGCATTCCTACCAACAATGTTTTCTAAATTTACAAATACAATAAGAATAAATAAAATAAAGCATTATAGGCAGAAATGGTGGCACACACCTGTAACCCCAGTAGCCCAGGTGGCTGAGTTAGGAGGATGGCGGGTTCAAAGCCAGCCTCAGCAAAAGCGAGGTGCTAAACAACTCAGTGAGTCCTGTCTCTAAATAAAATACAAAATAGGGCTAGGGATGTGGCTCAGCGGTTGAGTACCTCTGAATTCAATCCTCTATATCCTCCCCCCCAAAAGTACTAAGATCTCAGGGTGACTAAGAGCATATCAAAAACTATACCCTCCGAGGAACAGTTATCAGAGGCTGAACACTAAGAAGGGAAACACACTTCACTAAAATAAACCACTCAGCTACTAATCAAATAACCAAGTAACAATGTCAAGACCTGAAGGAAGGGGGAATTAGTACCAAGAACTGCTAAAATATGATATCCAACATGCCCAGTTAACCAAAACAAACAAAAAAACTAAAAGGCATATAAAGAAATAGAAAAGTATAGTCCATACACTAGGTGTATGCACACACTTTCCAGAGAATGCACCCATAAGGTGCTATCTGCAGAGAGTAGCCCTCACCAG